TCCTGAAAATCAAGCCTTCTTTTCATCATCTTAACTTCATTATTAATGATTTCTCCAGCACCACCATGTTTTAGAAAAACCCTGCTCCTTCAGCAGTCTCTATGTTATGCCAGCCTCAACTTTCATTAACACGACCTTAAGCAAAGAATGTTCATTTTGTGCATGTTCTGACTTGCTCAGGCAAAGAGTTCCAGAACAGACCTTCTGCATACATTGATGGAAACACAAAATTAAAAATAAAAGCCCACCAGTAACATTTACAAGTGTTAATAAAGATAACCTCAAGGTGATCAGTTAAATACCAAGTGCAAATTTCTTCTGCTTAACATTCTCTGATCGTTTTAGGGGGACAAAGGTTTTTTTTTTTTTTTTTTTTAAAAAGCACTTTTCAGGAGGTATGTGAAGTTAGACAATCCACAGTCCATAGAAAGCCTCACAATACTTAATATGGTCCCTCAACAGCCTGAAATTCTGCTATCAAAAACAATGTTTGATCCTGTCTTACTAAAGAAGCTAACATTTAAAATAATCAGTTTTTCTTTCCTTTTTGTTTCAAAGACAAAAATAAACCCTGATAGTTTAAAAGAGAAAACTATCACAGTGGCAACCCTTGAGAAGAAGGAAGGGGATTACAATGAGTTGTACAATGTGTGCAGATTATCCCCTTTTTTGGAAGCAATGTTGAGCATCATATCCATACCAGTTTTAATGCTCCCTGTGGCTAGCTGAAAATTACGTTGAACAGTACAGAATCAAGTTAGCGCACTTTTCCCCTTAAAGTAATATTGAACTATATGGCCCCATATACAGGGCTTTTGTCAGGAATTGCTTCAAGGGGAGAAAAACCAACTCTATGTACCTTAGTAACTTTGTAAGAGCTTCCCCACTCCAAATATCATATTTTCTAATATTCAGGGGTACATTTTTATAGGTCATGAAATGGAAAGGATTCTATAAAGGAAAGGAGTTTAAAGCAAGCTTGGAGTAGAACAATGCTGGCAACACAGTGCCCATGGGTGGCAGGATGCTAACTTCAGACGCCCCACACCCCTGCCCCACAAAATAAGCTACCGGGGGTGAGACTGTAGCCTCTCCCATTAAATCTTAGCCAAATGATGGCATTTTTCAAAGAAGCTCCTGAGCCTTCAAGTGAGCCTCAGGGACTGCCAGCTTCTACAACGAAAGAAAGGAAGCAGATGGATATTGTAAGAGATTTTTTTAAAGAGTCTTTAATCAAACCTTTAGGAGTTTTTCCACTCCTACTCCACAATTATAAGCTAACGTTTCCCAAATACTTACACTTCAGAAATTCTGAAGGCCAGCTTCTTTGTTCTTATAGCAAATATCATAGTTAATGGGTAAAAATAGAAGTCCAAAGCTTCAGCACCCAATTTGTGCTTTTGCATTCAGTAAATACAATTGCTGAAGGAAACATTTAACTTTACCTTATCTGTGTTCTTGTATTTCTCCCAGCTTTTTAACATTTTCAGCCATTTTGTAGTTCTTTCAATTTCAAGCTGCTTTTGCTGAAATAAAATCAGAGCCCATTATTCTCTCCACTTCAAATACTCCAAGGATTCTTTTTCAGCATTGATAAGCATTTAGGAACAGACAATGTGATGCTTTTAACAGCCCAGAATCACTAGTAAGTGCTTTAAATTAAATGCAAAATATTTTAGCCTTTACATAGTGTTTCTAAATTCTTCTGCTGTGGTGGGCCCTGGAACTCTGAAATTGGAGGGCCTCACACATCTGAACAGACCCCTCCTATGTTTTTGTCTTTAAGAACACGGGAGTTCACAATTTTCAGCAAACAAGGTAATGATTATAGTTGAAGTTGAATTTGTGTATGTCTTACCATCCACTCCATTTTAAAGCTTTAAAGCTTTAGCTTTTTAAACTAAATTTTGTACACAAGAATTTAATCCAAAATTAAGTATGTTTTTAACACTTGAATTACTTTTTGTACCCTGGGTAATAATACCTACAATTCCAAGAAACTTGCTGGGTTTCTCCAACAGAAGTCTCGGAGTATTAATGGATAGGCCCAATGAAACTCTAGTTTTAGATATTAATTACTGTATTTCCTATTCACGATTTATTTTTTTATTTTTTTTTAGGGTGCTTATGAGAGATCATGGCTCCACTTGGCACAGCGAGACCTTTTCACTACTGCTTTTCTAATGATAGTACTTACACTGCTACTTGTATTATCACTTGTAAGCTTCAAGGAACCAGTGTTCAGCCATTGACTGATTTACAGAACCAGGGGACTGGCAGTGAACTCAAGGAGGTTTGATGGACTAGCAAAGAGATATTGAAAACTCTATCTCTGTGCTACATCTATTGGGTATCTGGATTCTTGCAGCCCAGATCTGGGAGTCCTAATCTTTAAGCCAGTGTTTTTCAAACTTGGCAACTTTAAGATGTATGGATTTCAACTCCCAGAATTCCCCAGCCAGTCCACATAGCTCCACTGGATGCAGCTCTCAGGAGCATCGTTTTATGAGCCAGAACCTAACAATCCAACTGAATATGATAGTGTTTGGAAATAGGACGCTTCTCCCTTGAAGCCTGCCAATTTCAGAAATACCCTTTCAAGTAAACAGTTTGATAATTTAAGGCTTTGTGCACAAACTCCCATACAATAATTTCTAGATTCTAGCCATGCCAATAAAAAGTAAAAATGAAAATTATGCAGCTCTTCAGCCGCACCCATTTGAGATATGTAATTTAGTTTAAATACTTCGGTATAGCTGGGATTGTGCACTTAAGATATACTGAGTAATGACTGTTGCAAGAAAGACATCATTATCGTAATTTTAGAGCACTTCACAACACTTCAATAAACTCAAACTATAGTGCACACAATTTTTCTTCTGTTGAGAAATGACTGTGGAAAGCCTGCATTAGCTCATCGAACTTGGTAATAACAAGGTCCTCGCAACTCAATCATTTGCAAAGCTTATAGAAGTCTTCCTAGAAACCCTACAGTTTTGTAGCAACTTTCTATTCTGTAAAGGAAAACTCCCCATGTACATACCCTCTTGATCAATAGGTACAGTGTGATGTGGTTAGAAGAGTTTGAGCCTGCTGGTTGTCACAAAGTGGTCCTTGAGGCACAACTAGATTTTGGTTGTGTTTGTGGCCTACTGACCAAAATACACAAAACTGACCAGTAGTCTCCTGGCTGTTATCAGGGAACGTTGCTTGTGGTATGGACGTGTCTAAGACTGGTGGCCCACCAAACCCCTTCTACATCTTCCTAAAAGCACTACAGGAAAGCCTCAACTGAGCCATAATGGGTGGCTCAGACTGGTGAAACTAGGCTTTGCTGTATTTTCTTTTCTCAGCATATACCCTAATTTCCCTGGCTTATTAATTCTTATGTCTTTTCTGCACTTTGTGTAATGCTGCAAAGGGCGTGATGGATAAAAAATAAAATGAGCTGAAAAGAGGGGATGCTTGTTAGGCAGGTGCATAAGGTGCTATGGGTTCCTAGCCTTACTGTAAGTAACAAGCAGGAATTACAGACTCTCTTCATAAACGAGTATGTGGCAATGTTTTTGAGAAGAACCTGTAATTTACTACAGGAATTACAAAAATAACCTCCTAGATCTTGATTTACATAAGAAAGATGCTTAAGGAATGCATGTGCCATTGTATCTTTCCAGGAAAAAAGCATACCTTTTTACAGTAATGTTTCATGTAAAAAGGTAAATATCCTAGAACTGCAAAATGATTCTGCAGTCATTCACTAGTCAACTGAACGTGGAATAGTCTGTTTCTATGATGCATAGCAAGCTTTATATGAAATAAAGTTCTTATTTTTCCTAATAGTAACCAAAGTTTTTCTTTCTGGGTGTGTATGTGTACAGAAAGCTTCAATGAATTAGAATTAGACAGACCCAATCCTGACTACAGAGCTTGGATTATACAACCTTTTTGCCTTTTCCTCAGAGCGTCAAATGGATAAGAGTCGCTCAGGTTGCTGAATTGCTTTGCAAATACCAGTTGCTGACAAGCTCATTCATCTCTCTGACTCTAAGTTGGCAACACTCCACTGCATAATTACAGTCGCGGCATATTAGCCAGTAATTGAGCACAATAACATCTGGCATTTCAACATTTTAAAACAGAGCAGGCATTTCAAATGACTACCATCCCCCCTCAATTACCTCCTTTCTCAAATATTAACTACTGGTCAAAAAGCAATGTTCAATCCAACAACGAAAACTATAAAGTGACAGAAGGAATGCACTAAATTAAGGATCGGAATAGTTAAAAGTGGTTTTCTTTACAGGGACTAATATTCATCAAGTTGCATTTAACAGATCAAAGAAGAGGGAAAGCCTGGCTGGGCAAGGATCTGGCTAGTTCAGTGCTTCTCAACCTTGGCAAGTTTAAGATGTGTGGACTTCAACTCCCAGAATTCCTTGGCCAGCACGCTAGCTGGGGAATTCTGGGAGTTGAAGTCCACACATCTTTAATTTGCCAAGGTTGAGAAATACTGGCCTAGTTCTAGATTAGCCTTGTTTAATGTAGACCAACTGTAACTGGGACTGAGGTTAACCAGCTTTATGAATTAGAAATCCCAATTAAAAGAGTTAAAGGCGATCACTACAGAGAAGCCCTCTTAGAATCAATTCAGAAACACATCCCACACACATAGTGCTATGTAGAAGCATAAAAAATTTTAAAGTGGTGCTGGGCAACCAGAATTGTGGGTTCCATCTCCTTCTGGTCATTCATGGAGATGCTACTTATAAACAAATGATGAGTAGGACCATTCCCATACGTAAGAAGCAGCATCCATCCACGTGGCCACAACAGGCCAAGACTTACTTCCTGCAGACCAGTCTTCTCCAACATGGTGCTCTAAAGAAGTGCTGGACTACATTTCCTGTCATCTTCCAAGCAAACTCACGCTATACCGTTAGAACCTAACAGAATGCTTACAAGAATGCTCTTATCCATACAAGTGTTGTTTTTTTTAAACAGAAAAGCGATTTACATGAAGATTCAGCCAAACCATTCCAGTCCCCAGCATTTCTAGCTGACCCCACTCAGATAAACCAATGTTCCCAAATTACTACCTCTTTCCATTGAAATTTTGTCTTCCAGAAGTCTCAGAGAGCATAGTCATACTAGGTGGTAATTTTAAGGGTGATCATTCAATAAATTACCAAAGCATGTGGAAGGTAATGGTGAACTAGATGGACCCATGATCTTGACTTGGTATAAATTAGAATCCAATATCCCAATTTCAATATCAAAGATCTCCAGCCTTGGATAAAAGACCTGGGCTGGGCTAGCCAGGCTCCCCTTTAGCATGACCAGTAAGTTGACTTTCTTTGTTCAATTCTTAGCCACACAGATACTGAGAAAATTTACACTGATTGCTTTCAGAGGTAGTACAGTTCTAGACGCTTCCAAAACATGTATTGATGTATAACATCAGAGGGGGGCTACTTACCTTCTCAGATGCTGCATCATGGACTGGTAACTCCTCTTGGCTAAAAAGAAAGAGGAAGAACGCTAATTACAGTGATATTAGATTGCAGTGCAGAAACTAAATAGCTGATTCCAGAATAGCACGTCATAGTTATTATGGTTGGAAGCACACACTGGGCTAAGCTACAAAATAATTTGGTTTTGGCTTACTATGAAAGTGGTCACTGCAACCATGATTTCTGAGTTAGCATTAAATATGAACCCAACCACCTGGGCTTTATTCTATAATTCATTAGTAAGTAAACAATAGCTAAGTATAACATGCAAATCTGATCTTAAATTCTTGGACTAAACTTTTTCTATAGGAAATGAGCTTTATTGAAGTGAGAAGAAGCTATTAAGCAAATATGCATAAGACTGAACTTTTTGTACTGCGAAATAGTCTACAAGGTCTTTCAGGAGATTATTTCATGGGCCTACAAAAGGGAACACCTCCCAAGACAGAGAAGTGCATACACGTACTTCCTAGTTTAAGAACGAGTTCCGTTCCCAAGGTGTCCTTAAGTCAAATTTGTATGTAAGCCGGAACATTAATATTGTATAAGTAGTATTGTGTAATGAACTTAAACCATTGTGTATTTAACTCAAAACACTGTGTATTTAACTTGAATTTTGCTACAATAGGCTTTGTTCTTAACTATGGGTTGTCCTTAAACCAGGCATTCTTAACCCAGGACTACTTGTATTCATTACATAAAATGATCAAATATTTATTGGGGTTATATCCCAAAGTTACTTGGCTTCAAATTCAAACTGAACCATAGTTGAGAGTTTGATAACTACGTCAGATTGCCAGTTCAGTCAGTTTTAAATACAGATCATCACCCAATCAAATTAGCAAGGTGAGAACTTCTGTAAATGGAGAGTATGAAACTGCAATGAATAATAATTAATCCATCTACTAATTATATTATCAAGAAGTTCAGCATCCAAATACTGTATGTTTTATTATTTACCTCCCCATTTGGGCTACAACACTACACTTATTAGGAACCAAGCTACACTAAGCATAATAGGATCTTGTTCTGAGTAACTGAGACCCACTATACCGTAGCAATTAAGTTGTTGGGCAAGGACTAGGGAAATACAGAATTTAAGTCTATCCTTAGCCATGGAAACTCACTGGGTGACTCTGACTCAGTTGCACTCTTTCCAGTCTACCTCACATGGTTGCTGTTATAGGGATAAAATGAAAGGAGGCCCCATATAAGCTGTCTTGAGTGTGGGGAGCCATGGAGATGACCCTGGAGAAGCCATTCAGACAACAACAAATGCAGAAGCATGTGTTGATCCTAGGGAGGCAGGAAACTATTAGAAAAAGACTCAGACTGGCTCCCCCCTGACTCCCTGGGGTACAAAAGGGAAGAAAGGAAGACGCAGTATTCTGTTATTATAGCCAATCTCAACAAAGCATAGTTCCAGTCTTCCTGTAGTGTGTTTCCTGATCTGGTCTACCTCACAGGGATGACAAACCTTAGGTTTACATCTTTGGCTCAATTCACACATTCAGTGATGGGTATAAAAAGCATTCTTCCTTCTGTAAACGTGTGAGCCATTCCTCTCGGGAAAATTAACAAGAGGAAAAGGTTGCATCCTACTCTCATAATAGAAAACTCAGCTCACAAAGTGGATACTTAATGAGAAGAAGCAGCCAAAAGAAAACCTGCTTTTTCAACTACTTGGCACTGATGTTGAAATTATATTTCATTTTAATAACTAAATATGTGAGTCAGCTTAGCAGCTCTGACCTCGTGTTATCCCTTCCCACTTCCTTTCTCGGAACTCTGCATTTCAATCATGTCTCCAATTAACTGTAATTAATATAACTGATGATTTGTGGATTTAACTGTGGTGTGTCAATAAAGCAAGAGGGAATGGGCACTACGAAAACTGAGTGTGTTTTTAATTATACACATCTCACAACCAAAATAAAATAATAATACTCTCCAGTGTTAGATTTTAGTTATTATAATATATTATATTGTTGACTGGCTATTCATATGGTTTAAGTACTTGTAATGGATACATTCCAATGAGCATTCAAAAACTGTGGAAGTGGATTAGTCAGCATTAATATTAGTCTCCTTCTGCTTCTACTATGTCATCAGTGGCCTTAAATATTTCAGCTATCTGGCTTTAAAAGCACTCGATTGGACCAAAATTTAGAAATATCTAGAATTGATGTGGTGAAATCAGTAGAACTCACGCTATGTATTAATGGTTCTAACTTTAAGAATGGCTGAGGTCTGGACTCAGTCCCTTTCTAAAACAGGAGTGAGCTGATTTAGACAACTATTATCAGCAGGATCAGGCATCCCTGGCAAATTATAACCAACTGAACTTATAAGAAGCTATTTTACTTGTACACCAGGCATTATCAAAGTATCCTTCCAACTCTGCACACACATCTTCACCTCTCCATTGCCCTTTCTTCTGCAATACAAGTATAAAGCTTCTACTTTATTAAGGTCATTGCTCAGAGATAGGGCATTTATTTTATATACAGAGGTCTCCAGTTCAATACCCACAATCTCCAGTTTAAAAGGCCCAGAGGAGAAAAGAGCTTCCTTTGGAGATCCTGCAGAAATGCTCCCAATCTCTGTTAAGACTTTCTGGGGGAAAACTATGATCCTCCAGATCCCATTGGACTTCAACAACATTGTCCTGATCAATGGCCATAACAGCAAAGGCTGAAGGCAACTGGAGATTTCACAAATTCTTTGCTTTAATGGCTTGCTACACATCACAGCTTCAGGCTGTTAGTCAGCAAAAGGACAACGATAAAGGTAGTCCTCACTTAATGACAATTCATTTAGCAACTGTTCAAAGTTACGACAGCACTAAAAAGCTACTTACAACTGGCCCTCACACTTACAACCGTTGAAAAGCCCCCGCAGTCACGTGATCACAATCTGGGAGCTTGGCAACCAGCTTGCACTTACAATGGTTGCAGCATCCCAGGGTGTGATCACCATTTATGACCTTCCCAGCTGGCTTCCAGCAAGCAAAATCAATGGGGAACTACATGATTCACTTAACAACCACATGATTCACTTAACAACCACATGATTCACTTAACAACCATGGTGATTCACTTAACAACCACTGCAAAAAATGTCATAAAATTGGGTGCGGTGATGACTTGCTTAACCACCACCCTGCTTAACAACAAATTTTCCGGTCCCTATTGTGGTCATTAAGCAAGGGCTACCTGTATATACATATATATTAGCCACTATGCATAGTGCTATGTATGTCTATCAGTGTGTTTAGGTTTGCAGTCTGCAACTGGAGCAGGGCAGCTTGATCAATGGCAAAGAGCAAGCATGTTTGCACACATGCAGAAAACTACAATTTTACTATACCGTTCTACGGACTGTGCCTACAAAAGGGGGAAGCATAAACCTCCAAGGTTTCTATTGCATAGCAGCAACTTTTAATAAAAAGCTGAATTCCTTAAAATTTGTGCTTACTGAAAGCACATTTAAAATTAATGGAGTTGGGTCTTTAAATATATTCAACATGCTGATGCAGCTGATTTCTATACCTCTTTCAGAAACAATGATATCAAAGAACACTCATGTTCTTCAACAGTTGAGACTACAAACTCAAATCTTCAAACACCCAATTGTGCAACATATCAAGTCATGTGGCTATAACCATATTTGCGTGAGGTTATATACTACAATTAAGAGGTTTGTCCTTGCAAGTGAAGTTACCAATGGGGCTATATTAAAAGGAAGGCAAAGATTTGAAAGTTGTAACGCATGGTTATACTAAAGCTTTTATTTCAGGTTGAACATTGCTCCTAAATAGAGATCTGCGTACTGTCAAATACAGACACAGTTCTTCTCTATTTACTCCAGCAGATGGGCCAACTCCATGTACATCCTTCATATATGATCAAAATGTAGGCCAGGGGAACATTTAATCCCATTTCACTCCATCCTCTTGGTTTAGGTGCTGAAAAAAACGATTATAGTAGGTTGATTAGAGAGCATAAGTCTCTAATTAAAGTTTATTACTTGGATAACTTCCAAGCATGTAGACTTCAACTTCCAAATTTCCCAGCCAACATAGTCATTGCTGAGAATTCTGGGAGTTGATGTCTTCACTTCTAAAAGTTGCCCAGTTGGGGGAGCCCTGCTCTAACATAGTAGAGCTAATGCAATATATAACACAAGGTAAGTAGCCCCCAGATTAAGAACACCCAGTTTAAGGACTACTCATAGCTAAGAATGGAGCCTATTGTAACAAAATTCGAGTTAAATACACAATGATTTGAGTTAAATACACAGTGGTTCAAATTCATTACACAATACTACATATACAGTATTATACAATAATATTGTTCTGGCTTCCATACAAATTCAACCTAAGGACAGACCCTGGGAATGGAACTCGTTCTTAAACTGGGAACTACCTGTATTCCAGTTCAAATTATTTCTTTAATACAAAAACTCCCACTGATAATTCATTAAATAAAGACAGTTGATTCGTACACATAACTTGGAATGGCTTATTTATCCATTTATTTATTTATTTTGGGTATTTCTACAAGTTGCCCAATTACAAGTTCCCCAGGTGGCCCGTAAAAAGAAAACATACAGCATCATAAACAACATGAAACATGAAAATGTTCTGAAGTTAAGTAGAGCAACTGGAATGCCATCTAGCTAGGATAACATGTTGCTCTTCTAGGCAGGTGGGAGAAAAGGTTGGAAGGAAAGAGCAAAGACAAGGCTTTTCCAAGATGAAGGTTTCCCTGCATGCTCTCAAGTAACAAAATATGTACTGAGAAGGAACTGTAAAGATATCAACTACTTAGTTTCATAATGAGTTCTAGAAATGGCTGGGAAACTCAACATACTCACGGGATTCAGAGTAGAACGTAAGATTTTTGTCCATGTACACAGTAAGAATTGAAAGATATAGTTATGCTTGTGAAAATATTATTGCTAAAGTTATAATTTTAAAAAGAAAAATCAATTACTTCATTTGG